ATTCTATATTTATAGAGAGTTCTGAGAGCCGTGAAATTTGGGGATTGAAGACATGTGGCACTGCACATTATCTGACGTGGACTTGGGATTTCCAATTCTGAGCATTTTGGATGCAATTGGTCCGAAAGTGGCGCCATTTAGCCATGTTGTGGAAGGATCTTTTTTTTTCTTCAAAATGGCTACTCTTCCAGTTTGGGAAATATCATTTGTTTTAGAAGTGGTGTTGTTTGGGTGAGAATTTCTTCAAAAAGTCGTTGTCAACCCACCAAAAATTGAATGGAAAATGAAAGACGACTTGTCAATTATCATTTTTTTTCCTGTGCAGCCTGAACACCAGTGAGCGTTTGAGTATTTCTTTTGAGAATTTGGAAGTATGGGGATTTATCACTGGTGTCTATGGGAATCTATTTACTTGGTTACACCCCTATGGGGTTGCTAGTCGATAAATTGCCTTTAGCCATTGGAAACATAACCGAGTTGCAAAGATCAAGATTCTCACAACTCTCCAGATCGCTTAAGACCTGCGTTAAATTAATGCTTGATTTACACCTTTAACGCTACTTTCGATTTGTGGGGCGCAGGCCTGCTGGGATATGTTTTTTTCGGTGATATTGCCTCCAAAGAAGATCACCCCCTAAAAAGTAGTCCTGAAACCCGTCGCCATTTCGAAAAATGATCCCTCCGCTCCCTTGCAAAGTAGAAACATCCGGATACAATTTCATCCTAATTTCACAAAAGTAAAAGCTCACAGTATACTGTAGAGAGTTGGGGCCCTTCATTTTCAAACCCCCGGGTATATCGTCCTCAAATTTTCTCTTATAAGGGGGGGGGGGGGAGTTATTTGGTCAGCGTAGGCACTTGGTGCCTTTTTACTGCTAGCAATTTCATTGTGGATTTTGTATCGCAATTTTACGTTTGTCCACAGTAGGCACCCGACTATAGTCTGGTGACTAAAGTCAACACAGCGGTTTGTCAATCTTTGCGCAAATTAATTAGCGACAAAGTGTGAAGTACGTGTGACGGTGTTCCTGTATTGGAAACATTTTCACTGAGTAAATTGTCAGTTTCCCCCTTTCTATTTCGAAGGCTAAATGTCACAGTTTGGCGATTGTCCCACTTAGCACACAAATGCGACGTTGTCAGCTACACAATGAACCTTATTGTGGTACAGAAATCAATTAGAAGAAGTGACTCTTGCAGAAGCCGTTTTTCTAGGAGGAAAATGCCACGTCTTTTGTTGTCGTTGAGCAATTATATATTTCTGCAGGGAACAGTTTCCCAATTTGAGGTCATGTGTGGAGAAAGTAAACAACTTTGTTTTGCAGAAAGGAGCGATGACAGAAGTGAACAAAAACAAACAACTTCACTGAATTAATTAACTCTGTAGTATTTTTAAAAGGGCCGCTATAAAGATTGTCCGTGGAATATCCTTTTACACAGCAAGGGGATATCATTATACCCAGCACGAGATGAGACGGAGGGGTACCCCCCCCCCCATCTCCCTATACCCTATACACACCCTAGACTATTGTTACCTGACACATCCCCCCTACATATGGCTCAAAAGAATTCCTGAGATTCTGGTAACACAATGACCAACACAAGGGAGGGGCTTTCCCTCCGTCTAATATGGTGCTAATGCGAGCAGATTCGGCGATTAATTATGCAAAGCAAGTCTGCGTCTTGACCTCGAGATTCTGACCATTCAGCGGGCGCCTTCTATCCGGTCTCCCGTAACCCGTTGTTGTATTACAACAACATGGCATCTTAATAGACCAATCAACAGCTTAGTCCACATTTCTGATCGAAATGGCGTCACCGCCTCTAAAGACCACTCCGATTGGCCGGCGCGCGGGGTCGCATAAAATGTACACGCTGTGATTATTCAGACGTTCAACCGTGGCTCTGCCCAAGTGAATGTCTGATCCTGAGAACGCTATAAAGATACACTTTAAGAAGATTATGATACCGCTCTCTGATTGAACAATGCGTCAACGGGCGGATCCTGGGGCTATGGGTGCCACGCCCCCCCCCCCCCAAGAAATAAGTTGCGTTCTGTGGTTTAAGTTGCCTAATGAAACCAGAGAACGAGTTTTTTTTTTTTTTATAATTGTGTAGTCCACGCGTCCCCTTTTCTCTATAGTTTCGTGAAATATTAATGATAAGAAAGAACAGAAAAGGGGCCAAAGAAGCGCCCCCTAGCATCAAATGAGGACTCCCCCCCCCCCGGCTGGCAGGCCTGTCCATCTCCCCGCCCCTTCACTCCCTCCCCGAGCATTTGGTTCTGGATCCACCGGCCATTTGGAGACGACATTCATACACACTAGCCACTAAAGCTTTTGTAGAAGTGTTTTTCAAAGCAATGAATTATTGCTGTCTGCCGGCAAGTCATCATTATTCTGATCTGGAAAGTCCAGGATTTGGTGTTTCATGATAGCACTACAGATCCATCCCTCTCCAAACCATCTAAGAAACATTCCCCAATGTTCCTCCCTCTTCCTTTCATCCTACCTGTCAGATTATGTGGGCTTATATTCTCCCCCTCCGGTGTCTTTGTCTTTACGAGACACCCCATCACCGTCTCCTCCTCGCTCTCTCTCTCTCTTCTTATGCCGTGATTCGACGCCGATCGCCCCACGGAATGACGAGGAGTTGACTGGTGGGATGTGTCACCGGTGTGCCGCCTCGGGGTCCGGGCCTTGAATGATCCACCGCGTCGCCGTGACCCACAGCCACTTAGCTTGGCTTTTTTACAAATCCCTTGCAAATCCACCTCTCCGTGCTTGGCAAACAAGTTGGTTTTTAAAGAGACAATTTCAGCACGGCTGTTTTTCTTCATGTCTGATGGAAGAATCGTGTATATTATCCCTCCTAAAGTATGCAAACATACATTCTGTGCCAAATAGTCCTTTCAGACAAAATCAATCAAGTGACTGTTTTCAAGAGTTAAGAATTCCCAGCCGACGTAAAGCAGGATTGACTGGCCGTGCTGTTAATGTAACTCGATACAGCTATGCTTTGACTGCGGGAGATTGATAAACCAGCTGTGACTACAACTTGCCTGTTTTGTCTGTTCATGGTCTGTAGACTGGGTTTGACTATGCTTGCTTCACATATGATCTGACTGCTGGTGACTAGCCTGTGTTAAAAGTATAGCAGGGGAAGTGGATGGACATTTTGACTGTCTGTGACTGTTTAAAAAGCAGGAGGGTTAATCCAAGTTATACAAAACTGTGTTCAACATCACTTTGTTTTGGAGTGGCTCGATATAGGTCGGCCTATCACACTATTTAAGTTAAAACACAAACTCAAACAATTAACGGAAAAGGTAAAGGAACACCGTACTTTATAGTGACAGTCAAATTCACAAAAGAAATCTTACAATTAAGTGTTAAAAACTTGTTTCAGAAATAAATATATTACGAGTTGGTCTGACATGTCTGAGAATCATCGGCCATTTTGGTTCGACAACGCCGAGAGAGGCAATTGTAGTAAAGTGTCTTGCCCAAGAACACAAGCACCGTGATTCTTATCGTAATAGCACTTCATACCAAAGGTCTCAAAGCGCTTCACAACTTTTACCCTTTTCATCAAGTTATCTCCTGAGCAGAGAGAGGCAATTGTAGTTAGGTGTCTTGCCTAAGAACACAAGCACCATGTTCCCCGTCAGGGTTCAAACCCATACCGTCACACATGGTTCGGACACCGTAAATCATGCGTTGAACCACGGCACTGAATATTTCGTTGCAGCATACGATGTTTTCTTTAAGCACCTCTGCTACACGTTGCTCACCCATTTTCACACCTAAAAGTGCAGCCTTTTTCTGTCAGCCGACCTGGGTGACTCACAAGATAAGATTAAAAACCAAGTTCTCTATCAATCTTGGTAGAAAATCTCGGCGCTTTTTCTCTTATTTTTTAAAGACTTTGATTCAACTGTTAACCCCAAAGTACAGACGAAAGCCCGCCAGAAATCCGCTAATGGAATTGGAGCTTGGGAAGTAATTGGCCCAAAGTTGAGCATTCTATTCCTTTCCGTCGAAACCTTGGCTATGATGTTTTCTCGCGCGGCATCCGCTATGGAGTCATATACACTAATGTTTACTTTGACCTCAATTTGCATGTTGACCCCAAGTGGGCGTGGTAAGCCTCGGTGAAGCAATTTGCCCCAGTGTTCATCATCAACGTTATGTTTTGCGTAATAGCGAAACGTTTTGGAGTGTTTTATGGAGATAATGTTGTAATATTGAACTACATGTGTTCAAAGTCTGAAAGAAACAAATTTGCCAAAAAGTAAAACAAATCAAAACAAAACAAACAAATAAATAATTGTTTTTACACGTGCCAACCGTGATTTCAGAGGACAGTGAAATCGGAGCATATATATATCTCATCTTAAGGACCTGCATACAATAACCAAGTCTCTCTATTAACCATTGCATTTTGTGCTTGCGCATACTCTTTAGGCCTTTTACAAAAAAGTGACACACAGACAGCAGACAGACAGACAGAGAGCGTAGGATCTTTTAATATAGGAAGGATTCTGCTTGACTGTTTTTAAATGAGACCTAAGGGTGTTTATCAAATCTCGGCTTCATTCCCAGCTGGGGCTTCAAGTTCGCTAGCTTTGTGATGCGATGTTCGGCGTCTGACTTAGGAGACTCCTGGTTCAGCCCTTGTCTAGGCCCAACATTCTGTCGAAAAGACACATGAAATCGTGTTATGTACCTGTTGTAGTAGAATACCAGAATCGGATTTTCGTTGCGTTGAAACATAACAGGCTTTGAATTTGTGAATCGGGGAAAGGAGATAGAGCCGATACCGGAGAACGAAGCCGTGATTTGATAAACACCCCAAGTCTCGTTCCAGCATACACGACAGAGTCTACCTAAGCTGTGCTGCACATTTCAAATATAAAATCTTAATTTGTTTCTGATAAGAATTATTTAATTACCGGGCTATGTATTAATTCCATTTTTTGTGTTTCCCCCTTTACGCAGGTCAAAACAGCCGATCTAACCCAGCAGATTTGCGATATACATTAACTCTACATTTTGGCCATTTTACCATCAGCAATGTCACCATGAGACTTACCAGTATCCTTCTCGTTGTCTTCCTAATATGTAAGTACCCATTATATTTTAAATATACCTTCCGCCATTTTGTATTGCACCCACAGGCGTGCAAAGAGATCTGCATGTAAAGGGTCATACGTCACAGGTACCAGACCATTTCCCTCAGTGTAAATTTTAAACTCATCGCCATTTTGTATTGTACCCGCATGCTCGCATACAAGACTGCAATAAAAATGGCCCTCCGTCAGGGTACCAGTCTATAATTTTGGGTGTAAATTTTCAAGATGAAAACTTGTGTCTTGTTTCGTTTTCCCTACAATCTTCTAATATAATTACATGTATTTTGTTTTGAAAATATTTTTTTCTACATTAAACAAGGTTTCTATTTGAAAATTCTTAGTTTATTCAAATCAAAGAAAATCCTGGTTGAAATGTTTTCAAAGTAAGCTCCTTTTAGTCTTTTTATGTAGATCACAGACAACATCAAGGCCTCCTCGTGAAAATAAACATGGATAGAATTCCTGTATTGACGCTGGTCTACATAAGTTTCGGCTCTTTCAGAAATTCCCTACATTTCATTTCGTCCGTCCACTAAAAACCCATAAACGTGCTATTCCAGGGGCCTATCAAAATAATATCTGTAGGCCTCATCAGCAGAATTCTCCAGCCGGTTCGCCAGATCGGCCATGACGCAAATGCGCGCGAACTCACGCCCATAAATTTCTACTCCTCTCTCGCCTGGCATTTGCCGCCCAAAAAAATCTTATTTTATACTTCATTGCCGACCTGAGCAGACGTTTTAGCGCTTCGCTGTACAGTGTCAAAGCGTTTAACCCTGCAGACGTTTATTTGTTCAACGTGCGGAGTTTGCAATCAGTTTGGGAGTTTTCTTAAAAAAAAAAAATCGCAATGCCCCATGGGATAGGTCTGGAAGTAATTTTGGATCATACCAAGCTGACTTGCGTTAATACGGTTGCTCATTCCACGATTGTAAAGTATTTCCACCTTTAAGTTGGCATGTCTGTGCTCTGCTGAAAATTTATTTTTAATGGAATACCCCATGAATTTAGTTAACTACATTTTGATGTGGAGAAACAGTATTGAACGATTTCTTAATTCGCTTTCACAATTTGGAAATCTTTTGCATATTTTAAATATTGGTTTTTTTTTAATCTTATCGTCGGAGACGTTTGTTGAATATGAAGTGTATTATTAATATAGAGAAGTGTAGCTGTCAGAAAAAACACAATTATTACCAATGTTTCTTCTCAAAACATGATTTTTTTGGTTCTTAAGAACCAAACTTAGTTCATATATGGTTCTGCTTAAACGTTTAAGTATTGTTCCGCTTAAACGTTATTGTTCCGCTTAAGCGTATTGTTCTCAGAAGAACTCAATACCTTTGGTTCTTCTCAGAAACAAGGAGAATATAGCTCTGAAAACTTAAATTGTAATTTAGTGTAGAGCCACGAAGTATTGTTCGAGAAGAACCGAAGGTGTTACCAATGGTTCTTCTCAGAACCACGAAGTATTGTTCCAAGAAGAACCAAAGTTAATATATATTGTTATTCGAAGAACTGCTGCATGAGAAGAACAAATATCATTATTTCGGTTCCTCTCTGAACCAAAAGAACTATTTTTCGAAGAACCAGACTTAATACCTCTGTCTTAAAACCACGAAATGGTCTTCGAGAAGAACCGAACTTGTCACATGTGGTTCTTCTCGGAACTACGAAGTATTGTTCACATCTCGTAGTTCTTCCAAGTTGTACTCTCGAAACCCTGAAAATTCCCGAACCACATCCAAATTTCCTTTCCTTTACGAGATTGCCCATTTCTGTGTCGCAATATTCCATTAGATTAAGCACAACACTAAACTATTTTTTTTCCGTACATTTTCCGCCTTTTGGTGTATTTTTTTAATAACTCCCCGGTTTATTCCGCCGGCTGAACACGGGCGTATCAGTTCAAATGCAACCGGTCCGTTTACCGGCTGTTACAAATTACGTGTGTCACTATTTAGACACGGTGCGCGACTTCGGATCAAATCGGGCGGGAATTTTGCCCCTGGGTGGAGGAGCAATATCTCAAAGGAGGAGCAATATCTCATAGAACAACACATGTTTCTCCGGTTGTTCTTGGACGTCGCTTGGAATAAGTGTAAAAATGAGTGACGATGCATATGGTCCAATATTAAAAGGAAAAAAAGGTCCGGTAGTTTTTGTGTGTGTTTTACAAGAGGTATAGGACAGAGCAGATTTTTTGGGGGTTGGGTGTTTTGTGGTGGTAAAATAGAGGAAGTTTTATTTGAAGTTTTAAGTACTTGTCTTCGTTTTGACAATTTTGCATGATGTAGCGAATTTGGGCCAACTGCGAATTCGCTACTGGTTTCAACATGTTTGAAATAAGGGAATCAATGTGGGCTTGGCTGGTTTTAAACACTATTTGTGAGACCGGTTGGAGTCTGAAAACTGATAATGACCGGAGCCGAAGCCAAAAGTGAAAACAAGTCAAACAATTTTAATTTCCAACGATTCTGTTCAACAATTTTACTTCATGTTTCTCGAAAACACCCGTCTAGCTATGCTATGGCGTGTCCCTCTCGTAAACAACTCCTTGTGTGGTGATTGGCGCGCGTCGCGCGTACTGCGTGATGTGGCGTAGAACGCAGCTGTGCCGGTGTAGTGTGAATTTAGGACTATGAAATACTGACTCACTGATATTATTGCGCATGCCTACGTGACGATTGTGAACGTTCAACCAGTAAAACGGTACTGGCACCGGATTTGATAGGAGTCCAAATTTCATGTGACACGGGAAAAGACCAGCCAGCCGGTCTTTATCAACCGTGTAAAACCGGCCACGTGACGGGCTCTTTAACCAATAGCATTGGGTAAACTGTCTGAGGTATTTATGAATAATAGTTTCAAATGATCTGCTTTCCAGTTTAATTCCTAAAAGTATCATAATATGTCAAATTTCAAAATAATGTCCCCGTCGAACAGTCACGATCAACGGCTAATGGAATGAAATGAGACATTCCTATGGGCTATATCTACGTGACACACATCACAGAGGCCAGTTGACAATTTTAAACTCACACATGATATGATACATTATTTATAAGATAATGCATCGAAAGGAAGCAAAAAAGCATGAAAAATACCGTTACATTTTGAAAAAAAAATAAGACAATTAAAGGGGATGTACAACATTTGCTTTTGCTGTATTTTTCAGAAATGGATGGCTTTGGGGGTTAGTATTTTATAGCAAATATTGTATACGCTGACCTGTTTAAAGTTTTGTGTTTATAGATGCTGGGGGAAAAACAACCTTTCTTGTAGTCTGGTTCCCTGACCTACTTCAGAAAAAATGGGGCAATTTGTCGGGGAATTTTCAGGTCAAGGAACCAGAATTGGTTCCGCTCGCGAATGTGTAAGCAATTGCAGACAAAATGTGGACTGACTTTAAATTTGATAAACTAGGGCAGTATTTGAAAAAAAGTCAGGTTTTTTCCAACGATGGTTGGCCGACCATCGAAGGAAATCAATTCAAAAATTCCACTTTTCTTGGAAATGACAGCTCACCAGGTGCCACGATTTCACAGGATGCTTGAGATTATTATTCACTTACAGTCAAGTAAGGTAATTTATAATAATTTGGTTTTTTTTTTTTGATGTTTGCGAATGTTGTATACTACCTTTAAAAAAGTCCCGTAATGGTTCGACAAAGTTTGAAGCTTCCTTAAACTTTTGTAAAAATGCAAATCAAGAGAATGTCAAAATGGGAATACAGTCTGTGAAATACGACAGTTCATTAATATTCCCCACAGTCATACAAAACGATCGATGCCAAGAAACGTTTAACTCGACCCTCGACCGATCCTGAGTCCGGCCCATCGACCGTTGAATTGAGCGCAGCAACCGTATCATAAATGCGGGTGATCGGCCCATTGCCAGACGGACTGGCGAGCCGATTGTTTTTTCTTTTGCAACCAGGTATAGTCATTAACCAAACACCCATGCGTAAAACATCATGTGATTGAAATACTATCACGTGTTTTGTATGACCTTTCGTAATGTTTTGATTTCGAACAAAAGTTGAAGAGACACTTTTGATTATGGCTGGTATTTTGAGATATTTCCCTTGTTTTTCCTGCCAAAATGCATCGTTAATACATTTTAATGCAATAAATTTCACCTTACTTTCCGATTCATGGCTCTGCGCGGGATTTTATTTTTTGAAAGGAAAGTAAAGTCTCAGAACCATTCCTTTAACAACTGACGCATGCGTAGTGTGGTCAGTGACTATCCTTGGTTGCAGTAAAAAAAATTATTGCCGGCAGGCGCGCCGTCGCCGCGACATAATGATTACGAGAGAGTCAAGTGTCTTGACAAAAAAGCTGCTCATTTTTTTGAGGGGATGTTGAAATCTGGGTCATTCGAGACGTACACCTTATCCCTGTTCTATATTTTTTCTATGGTCTTTTTGAGTAGAGTCCTCTATCCGAGTTCAACAATTTCGTGAAATATGAGTTGGTTTGAGCGGTCAGTCTTAAAGTAGGAAGGCTGCGATTATCGCTGCGTTGATTTTTGAATGCGTAGAAATGTGAATGAAATCGCACACAGCTTGCTAAGCGTTTGAAAGAAATGTCTTACCGTTCTAGAGAAAAGATGGAAAAGAACGGTCGTTTACTTCGGACGCGGCTGACATTTTGTGGCATACGCATCCGTATTGCAAGCCGTGTCCATTAAATGTACGGTACACGTTGTGTGTGTGTGTATTCTGTGTCACGTAATTTACACAGCACTAATGTTGTTTCTCGCACGTCCGCAGAATGCGATGCACTGTGCGGCAGGATTCACAACTAGCTTGATTTTTGAGAGTCAAAATGTTGACCCCGGACAATTCCTTCTCGCAAAGTTCTCGCAAGAATAACACAAAACGCCCAAATTTTAAAGGATAGTTGTGTTGACGTTTATATCCTACTATTAAATGCACGTTCCTGACCACTGAATACCATTTCGTTAAAACGCGGTTTGTATTGG